AATGTGGTAGCATGAGAATGGCAAGGTAATGAGTCACAAGATTTAATGTTTAAAATCTCATTATTGACAACTCATGATAGAACAATTCTTACCTGTAAGAGTTCTCTTTTCCCCCATTTGTAGGTTATAATGACATATTTTAATTTTGTTTCTATTACATTTATTTTAGAATGTGAGAGATGATAAGTTGTTAGAAGAAACAAATTAAATTGAGGTGGGAAATAGGGGAGGAAGGAAAAGGAAAAACACTTCCTAATATTGCCAGTTCTGTGTATAATTTAGCTGTCTTGAAATATTAACTAATCATTTATACTGATCATAAGTATATTCCTGAACATGGGGAGCACTATTTTCACTCTAAATTTATAACATTTTGGAAGCTTAATTAGCATACTTGAAGGTCAAATGGTGCTTTATTGTAATAAAATACAAAAAGTAATAAAGAAATTATTCCTGGGGAGATGAAAGTCTAGGTTCACAGCTCATTAAATGGAAACTTCACAGACTGTGTCTAATTTGTCATATTTAGCTTTGGAAGTTTCATATATTTGAATTTCAAATGAGGTGAAGGGATACCTGAGGCAAAACTACCTAAGGCCTTTGAATTCTGAAATGATTCAGGGTATATAGATCCCATAATATAATACCTTTATTATGTAAGAAATCTCTGTGCATTTTTATATATGTATATGTGTATATATATATATAGTTTGCCTTTATTGATTCACCAAAGTAATCATTCTGAGTTGTTCAGAGACTGGACAAATAATTGAGCAACCTTCACATAAATTGATAAGAGAAAAAAATTAACATAAATTTAATAATAATGTGCATGTATTTTGTACGAATGGGAGACACTTAGAAAAACTGAGTAACACACCAACTGCTCTTACATGCTGTCTTTAAATAATATAGCTAACAGAGAGGACCTTGAGAAGGGGCGGTACATTAGGAAGGTTATGGGAAAGGCAAGAAGATTTAAGCTCTATCTTTTTTATCTTCTTTATCCCCTGGGAAACACCTTGGAGGAAGATGTTTCTATGTTAGTATCTCTTTTAAAAGTGGTCTTCATAGTGTTTTAGAGTTCTTCCCATGAAATTAACATTTTGTCAAAGACATATTTTGTGATGTCCAATTTTAAAAATTTAATTTAAAAAGAATATGCGAGAGAAGAAAAAAGGGTGTAATCTTTTTGGAGAAGGTAAACACAACCTTTGTCTTTTTAATGTGATTATTCTGGGTTGCTTTGATCTTATGAATTGCTGGTGGGTTCAACTTTGAGAAAAACATGAAAACATGTATTGCTTTTTAGCAATGAAGCTTCTCTTTCGGCATGCAATTTATCTCTCGGACACAAAATGTTGACATGACAATAAGAAAAATTTCTTCTTCTATTTAATACTGACAGTCACATAATGACCCATGTTTATGATAATTGCTAAAAATAAAAACCACTGCTATTAAAATGTGATTAAGAAAGCACCACTGTGAGCTCCAAGATCCAAGTGAAATCATGAGAGCTAATATGAAATTGGAGGTGTTTGCTTCTTGTTCTAGTTTATAGAAACTTTCTGATCATCCAGCTCTGTCTGCAAACTTTAGCTGATATTCTCTTGCCAGAATCATAAGGACTATAATTTTGTAGGAAAAATTTCTTATGTCTCTATTTCCTCCATTTTTGTTGGGTACTGAAGTATATAATACTGTTTATGATAGTTTCACATATACATTGTTCCCGCAACACACCCATCGTCAAAGTGCCCTCTTTCTTCCACCAGCATCCCACAAGACCCCTCCCATACATTCACTCTCCCTCTGGTCAGTTCTGTAGACTCTCAGATCTGCAGCCTTTGGCAATTAGTTGCTCCCTTTATATACCACATATGAGAGAACGTGTTCTCTGTTTGTCCATTTCCTGACTGACTTTACTCAAATTATGCCCTCCAGTTCTATCTGCATAGTGGCAAATTGTATGACTTAATCTTTCCTTAAGCCTTATAGTATTTTATTGTGTGTGTATATATATGTATACATATATACACTCATGTATATATACACAAATATATATGTGTATATATAAAACAAAACTTTATGATCCATTTTTCTAGACTTGAATATTTGGTTGTTTTCATAGCTTGGGCTGGAGCGATAGCACAGTGGGTAGGGCATTTGCCTTGCATGAAGCCAACATGGTCAACCCGAGTTCGATTCCTCCATCCCTCTTGGAGAGTCCAGCAAGCTACCGAGAGTATCTCGCCCGCACGACAAAGCCTGGCAAGCTACCCGTGATGTATTCGATATGCCAAACACAGTAACAACAAAGTCTCACGATGGAGACGTTACTGGGCCCACTTGAGTAAATCTATGAACAACGGGAGGGCAGTGGCAGTGGCAGTGGCAGTGGCAGTTCCATAGCTTGGTTAGGTTATTGTACTTACCACAGCAATGAGCATAGGTATGTATGTATCCCCTCAAATTAATGTTTTTATATTTTAGCGATATATGCCTATAAGTATAATCACTTGGTCTTATGGAAGTTCAAATCCTGTTTTGTTTAGTTTGGGTCCCTCACCCACCATGCTCAGGTCTTACTGCTGGCTCTGTACTTAGGGATCACTGCTGGTGGTGCTCAAGGGACCATATGAAGTGCTGGGAATTGAACCTGGGTTGGCTGCCTGCAAGACAGCAGTGCCCAGCCCACTGTACTATATCTACATTCCCTCTAGTCTTACTGTTTGGAGAAATCTTCATCCTGCTTTCTATAATAATTATCAAGCCAGATGATGTTCCCACCAATAGTTAATGAGGCAGGGATGTGTGGAGAAAGGATAAATTAGTAATTATGATGTTAGATACTATAAACAATTCAAGATAATAGAGAAAATATAGTTATTGAAAGGTAATGTTCACAGAGTGAGTATCAAATATTCAGCTATCAACATTAAGTATTGGATGTGTTTTTGGAAGTGTTTTTTCTAGATCACAGTGAAGGTCAGATTAACTCACACTAGGTGAAAAATAGTGAGCTATTAAAAAAAATTCACCTCTGCCATCAGAAATAAAGATATCTCTTTGGATTGCACCTGAGACTCCTGTGACTCTAGAAACAGTATCAACATGCAGTGTTGTTAATATCTAAGAGCTAATTTGTTAATATCTAAGTTAATATCTAAGAGCTTTTTCTCATTTACTTAACAAAGTGTCAGTATCTACTTTTTCTGTATTATTTTTGTTTTTTGTGTGTGTGTATTGGGGGCACCTCAGTGATGCCCAAGGAAAACTGGCTCTGAGCTCAGGGATCACTTCTGGTGAGCTTCAGGGAACATATAATATGCTGGGGATTGAACCTGAGTTGGACAGGACATGTGTAAGGCAAGTGCTCTATCTGCTGTACTTTCTCTCTGGTCTCTCTGCCTTATTTTTAAACAGTGACTTTGTTTAAATGCATTAATTTTAGGTAAAATTTGGTATAGAGTTCACTCATTTTCATGTTGGGCCTACTCAGTCTTTAGTTGTGAATTGCTTATTGTAATATGGATAGTCTCCTTGCAACTATTAAGTTGCACATAATAATATTTGTTTTCACCAGTCCCTGGCATAATTGTATTTAACAAATTTGTACCTGTACAGAGTTCTCATATTCATTCCTTTCAGATATTTTCAATCTTTATCCTCTGCTAGTGTATGAAGATAAGTAAACTATTTTCAAAATCACGATCACGATCACGACCATCCTGTTGTTGGCCACATGCAAGGCAACCCTACCGTCTGTACTATCTCTCCAGCCCTGACATCCTCTGGTTCTGTCCATGATACAGCAAATGCAAGACTTCCTCTTCTCTTCTTTCACCAGTGCTCTAGATGCATATTTTTATATTCATGCCACTTAATTTTTCATACCCTACGTTGTCCCTGAGTGACTGGGACATCTCTGATTCTACCATCTTCTGAATAATGATTTCCTTTTATCTGGTACAGATCACCCTCTTAGCTCCTGCCCAGCATTGTTCAATAGGAGTTTGATGCAAACCACATGCATAATTTTAAAGCCTACTAATCACATTTAAAAACACAAAAATTGGGATTTTATTGATGTATTTTGTTAAACACAATATATAAATTACTAGACATTTCAATATAATGTTATTGTAAAATTATTAATGATCTAGCATAGCATTAGGGCGTTTGCCTTATGCACGGCCAGCTGACCAAGCCAGGTTTGATTCCTCTGCCCCTCTCAGAGAGCCCGGCAAGCTACCAAGAGTATCTCACCCGCACGGCAAAGCCTGGAAAGCTACCCATGATGTATTCGATATGCCAAACACAGTAACAAGAAGTCTCACAATGGAGACATTACTGGGCCCACTAAAGCAAATTGATGAACAACGGGAGGACAGTGCTACAGTGCTACAGTACTATATAAGCATGTACTATATACTCTATGTAATTCTTTTCATCATACCCAGCGATGCTCAAGGGTTACTCCTGGCTCTTCACTCAGCAGTTACTCCTGGTGGTACTTGGAGGACTATATGGTATGCCGGGGATCAAACCCAGATTGGCCGCATACAAGACAAACGCCCTACCCACTGTTGTATCACTCCAGCCCCAACACACTGTGTAATTTTGTATTTTATAATTGTGTACTATGTAATTGTGTGTATTTTACCCTCAAGTAGTGGAGCAATAGCACAGCGATAGGGCATTTGCCTTACAAGCAGCCAACATGGCCGACCCGAGTTCGATTCCTCCACCCCTCTCAGAGAGCCCGGCAAGCTACCGAGAGTATTCGATATGCCAAACACAGTAACAGCAAGTCTCATGATGGAGACGTTACTGGGCCCGCTCGAGCAAATCGATGAACAACAGGAGGACCGTGTTCTACCGTATCTTACCCTCAAGTATACATCTTAAGTTTTAGTCCTACTAAGATTTTATAATTGAAGAGTAGATTCACATATCCAAGTATCTCTTACCTACTAAAAGTTCTTGTTTTTTAATTTTTTTTTAAATTAGCAAGACTAGACCTATGTAGATAAAGAACTAAATCTGGGAACACACGAATGACCTTATTATAGTGTTTAGCCTGTCCAGATTATTTAAAAAAATCAGAACAGCAAGAATATTGACAGACTAAAGTTCTCTAACAACTGAATCAAGCATCAAAAGTTTATTTTCCTTTGCTATCCACATCTAACTTCAAAAATATTTCTGAAACTTTGTTTTTTTTTAAACTTTTTATTAGTGAAACACCATGAGGTACAGTTGTAGACTTACAAGTTGTTGTGCTTGGGTTTCAGTTATATACAATGATCGAGTGTCCATCCCTCCACCAGTGCCCATTCTCCACCCCCACCAATCCCAGTATCACTCCCACCCCTCCCATCTTCCATCCCTCCCTGCCTCTGTGGCAGGGCACTCCCTTTTGTCCTATCTCTCCTTTTGACTGCTGTGGTCTGCAGAAGAGACATTGAGTGGCAATCATGTTCTGTCTATAGACTACTTTCAGCATGCATCTCCCATCCTGGGCGGATCTTTCCAGCACCCTTTGTTTGGTATTCCTTCTCTATCTGAGCTGCCTTTGCCCCTACAGTGTGCGGCTGGCTTCTAAGTCTTGGAGTGAACAACCTGGTATTTATCACAGCTGCACTTGGGTGTTAAGTCTCTTATTTTGTTACTTTATGTTATCCAGATGAATGCTATCTTTCTATGTCTGTCCCTCTCTTTCTGACTCATTTTGCTTAGCATGATATTTTCCATGTCTGAAACTTTATTTAACCTTGATACAAAAGCACATGTTTCCAAAACACATTTATCCAGGTAAATTCATTTGTTCTTTTGACAATCTCATGTTATTAACATGGAATTCACAAGCATATTGCATAAACTGAAATACAATTTCAAAATTATCAGTGTCAGTAAAATAATTCTTTAAGGGTTTTTTGTAGCCAATTTAGAAAATACTATCATTTGCAATTAAAATTTGCATACAGATTCATTTTATGACATAAGGATGTAATAAAATAAATAATAAAATAGGGAATAAAGAAAATCGTTTTAGAAGTGTTCATTTCAACACAGATTTCTTTGACCCTTGCTTTTCTTGATGTTCATATTCAATTCATTCATTTGCAGAATAGTATTCATGAAAGTTTGAGCATGCATTCTTTTCCTTTAAATGTTCGAGTTATTGTGCTTACTTGATAAAGTCCAAATTTCTTAGCATTCAGTTCCATGCTCTTGTCCTTCCAATCATCCTGCTCTTACCCATTCTACTCCCATCATTCTTGCTGAATTTGTTGTGATTCCCCCATAAAAATCATTCTCCCTCTCCCCTATGACATTTTACTTTTATTTCAGAAAGCAAACAAAAAATCTCCTCTTCTCTCAATTTTCTCTCTGTACCTTCCTCATGCTTGTCCTTCAAATCTCACTAAAGAAATTATTCTTCTCTCAAAAGTCCCTCCAGACATCCCTCTCCTACCTTTGACACTAGAAAGTAATATTCTCCCATGTTCCCTATCACTTCTCAGCACACTCTGAATTTGCTACAACAGCACTTATTATATTGTGTCTGTCACTGTCCCCACTATATGGTAAGTAAGTTCTTGGAGAGCAAGGATGGTGCTTTTGTCTCCCTGCAAATCCGGAATAACTCATGACATGTAACAGATTCTCAGAAAGGGTTTTGGCATACTCATTAATCATCACCTTTATATGTTGTGTTCCAAGGAAACCTGTGTAATAATTAAATGTTGAGTGTGTAAGAGTGTCTACTTTTCACTATGATAGTAATTTATTACTTCATAACACATTAACTAAGGGCTGAGAGATAGTACAATAAGCAAGGCTCTTGAGTTGCACTAGCTGATACAGGTTTGATCCCTAGCACGTCATACAGACCCTTTCACACCTCCAGGAGTCATCCTTGAGCACCACTGGGTATAGTTTCAAAACAACAGCAACAATAGTAAAATTAAATAGAACTAATGCTCTTATGAGGATGTTAGCATTTTCCCCTGCTACCCCTCTAAAACGGACTGGAGAGATAGCACAGCGAGCGGTAGGGCATTTGCCTTACAAGTGGCCAACATGGCCGACCCGAGTTTGATTCCTCCACCCCTCTCGGAGAGCCCGGCAAGCTACTGAGAGTATCTCGCCCGCATGGCAGAGCCTGGCAATACCCGTGATGTATTCAATATGCCAAACACGGTAACAACAAGTCTCATGATGGAGACATTACTGGGCCCGCTCGAGCAAATCTATGAACAACGGGAGGACCGTGACCGGACCGTGACTGTGACCCCTCTAAAATGGTGTTAGCCTTTATACTGTGACCAAAATTTTGTAACTCTGTTTGCGACTGTTTATAATTGAATCTTACTTCTGTTACTAATCAACCATCTTGCTCTTTTTCTCTATCCAGCCCCAACGGAGGCCACATCACACCCACACCTAGGTGAGTATTTAAGATTTTTTTTTTTTTTGGTCACTAACCTAAATATGAGATTTACTTGTTTTACTCTCTGGCTGTCTGTGCAGATGATAAAGAGATGAGGAAACTAACTCTGGTCTCTCTGGCTGCTGCTCATTCACTGGAGTTGGTTAAACTCAGGACCAGCTTATGCTGAAGGGCAGGGCCTCTGTAGGAGACCGTGCTGTCCAGTCAGCTCTGTGCATGTACTCCCCTTGGCATCCTGTTACGTGTGTTCTTTGAGAGTGATCCAGTGCTGACTTTCTCCTAGAGCTACTTTAAAGCTACTTTCGAGCTACTTTAGAGCATAAATAGAACCCAGACACAGTACGTGCTACCATGAATGTGGAAGAACAACGAGGTCATTTTCAAGTTAGAAATTTCTTCTCAGAGTGGTACTGAATTGTAAAGGACAACCATGGAAATGACACTAATTTTTAAAGAATTTAGCTTTATTTACTGACACTTTGTAAAAATCTCTGTCTCTCATATTTTTCAGGATGTTTCCATGTGGGAAAGGGTTGTGTAAGGGTTAAAAGCGTAGGTTGGGATGCCCAGCTGCCTGCATTTAATCTTACCTTATTATATGACACTGAGCATGTCAGTTTTCCATCTTGTGACTCAGTTTCCACATCCATAAAACATAAGTAATAGAGATACCTTCCTCCTGGAGTTGTTACGAGTATTAAATGAACTCAGATTTGTGAAACATATAGTCCCTAATTTAATAGTACTCAGAAATAAGTATATAAACTAATGACCATTAAGACCTACTCATGCCTTTATAAAACATCCTTTAGAAAACAAAGATTGCTGAAATCACATTTCTTATTTGTGTCATTGAAGACCTACTTTAAAAGCAACTTCCTGCAGTGCACTATTTATTTTATGGGAATGAGAAGAAGCCATCTAGCTGGCCCTAGCTTTTTCAGATGTCTCTCTTTGTGGGGGACTTGTAGATAGGTCAGTTGTTTGTCTCTTGGGTTTTCCTTTTCAATCTGTAAATCCAATTAATTTCTTTTTCTCTTTGGAAAAAATTCTGCCTTGAGAAGCTCTGCTTTGATGTAATGCTACGGCTCGGGGCTCCTCTCTTTTGGCTGATGAGCACCAGGGCTCAGAAACATCCCTTCTGGCACTTCAGGCGGGCTGGTGACCCACTGTGGCCCGGCTGAGACTTTGCCAGGTTGGGTATTTGAGAGCGCTGTACCCTGCAGGCATTTCAGCCACTGCATCTAATCACTCAAAGGAATCATTAAGTCACTCCCACGCACAGAATACATCACAGCTCTCTCTTCCGCTCAAATCTATATTCCTCTGTGATGGTGCCTAAGGCTTTGAGTCTGAGGAGTCATTCCTCTCAATACATGCTGATTCACTGGCCTTCTGGACAGCAGAAAGTGGCAATGTCACCAAAGAGAATTTAAAAGTATGTTTCCTAATATTGGAAGGTGATTTTAGTTACTCAGTGAGTTCAGTGAATTTTATATTTCAGTGAGCAGGGAAGAAGGGGTGTGAGGGGAGAGGATTTGGAGGGGATAGAAGTTGACACCTTTGTAAAGAATAAAATTGGGGGCTCATCAGATCATAGAATTTTAAGCTTTTTTTCAAGAATATTTAGTTAAAGCAAAACTGTAAAGGATCCAAGAATTATTTTTGTTGTTGTTTCAGGGAAGAATTAATTTTAATGGAAACAAACAACTTTTCCAAATACACCATGGCTATCAGTTGAGAGGTGTTTAAGCACTTATTTATTTTTACAACTCAGGTAGAAATAGTTATCATTTCTCACCTAGGCTTAAAATTGGGCCCACCTCACTCGAGTGGTGGTGAAAGTGCATCAGACTGTCCATCGAGACCATAGACATTAACAGTACCTGTAATCATGTTATCCAAACAACAGCATCAAAAAGCAACTTCTTTAATTTTTTTCAGTAACTCACTTCATAGGTGCCCTCTATATTCATTGAAAATATTATATACTTTTCAGTTCATTGACAGTTTTTTTTTTTTGGTTGTGAGCATGACTTCTTCTAGCGCTTTTTTCTGTGTATTAGTTCTGGGCTACACCTGGCAATGCACAGGGCTTACTGCTGGCTCTGTGCCGGGGGAGCACTTCGGCAAAGCTTAGAGGACCAGAGATCAAACCCGGGCTGGCTATATGCAAAGCAAGCATCCTTCCTACTGTGCTATCTCTGCAATTCCTCTAGTACTTCTTAAAAATGGGTATTTAACTCCTCTGCTAAGAAAATACGAAATTATACTATTTGTTGCTACATGGATGGCACTGGAGGGTTTCATGCTGAGTGACGTCAGCCAGGAAAAGAGAGCCAGGTGCAGAATGGTTTCTCTCATATAGTGGAATACAAAAACCCATAATAGGAGAACAATGAATGGCCCAAAGCAACAAACTCTTAAGAACTGCTCAAGGAATCGTGCTTACCAGGGCAGTGCAACTTGGGGAATGGGATGGGACAGTCTAGAGGAGGTGGAGATTGAGAGATCACCCAGGGACCCTGAGACAATGGCAGAGGGAAATAGGCACTCCTGTGGAGAGTGTGGTGTTGGAATATTGTATGCATAAAACTCTGTCATTGATAGCATTGTAAAATTATAAATCAGAGTGGCTGAAATGATTTAATGTGTATTTAATACTGTCTC